GTCCTCACTGCTGCAGCGTACGCTCCACCCTACAAGCACAGTCGAACAGTCGAAGCACAGTCGCCACGGCGCCACATATGTCCCAAGTTGGTAAACGCCAACCAAGCCGACAGATCATCTGAGACTCATTGCACAACCTAGGTTCGATAAAACCGGACCGTTCGGAGGGAACAAAACCGTCACAACGTTGAGGACAGATTATGGAGCTAACAAGTATAGACGTATCAACGCTGAATTGCAAGAGGGCCACGTCACAGGGACTTGCAGCCTGTCACCAGGACTTTTGAAGTTTATTGAATATTTGTGAATCCTGAGTATGACTGGTGCAAGTGAAATGTGTCTGATTAGTTTATCAATTGATGAAAAAAGTTTAGACGAAGTGCAAACGACAGTTTATGAAATACAACAATTTCATTGGCTAAACCCAGACCAAACATCGAAGTCATAACTGCACCAATCCGGCTAGAGGAAATGGAACATGCAATGTGACATTTAAAGACGAGAGTTGTTTTAGCCCCTGTGTCCCGTATAAATTGGTAAGTTAAGCATTCCTTCTTTGGTGGAACTGCATAACTAGTAGTTGCACAAATACCTGTGATTGCGCTTTTTGTGGTATCAAAATCATTGTACCTAGTACGGATGAAATGCACGGTTGTCTAATTTGATAGCAAACTACAAACGATATATATATACAAGGTATAAGGTAAACTTTAGGTCTTTATGTATAGCCGTTTTTCACAGATCTTTGTTGTTATCAATTGCTTTTCACATTTCACCCCACAATAAGATGGAAAACATTCCTTACTTTAGGTTTTGAAAGATATATTGTTTAGTTCGCCGATAAACAATTTTCATCACCCACAATCATTTTGCTCAAAATGAAGCCACGTTTACTTGGAGGCGAGAAAATGCCCCAGTTTCCACCCAATCAGGTCCGATTTACAGATCCGGCTGTTGTTAAATGCGGATAAATAAATAGAAGACAATTGAATATTGTACTTCTGAGCACATTTTAAAATACAACACTTACTCCCGGCCGAGCGGGGATCGTGATAGTCAACGAGTGAAACGGAACGAGGCACAATATCAACGCAACTGACGCATCATGTTTCGTATATTTATTATCTATTTGAACATATAGTTTTGCTGAAATTATGAATAGACCAGTAGCCTCGATGTGCTTCATAGACACATATGGACGCTGCCTACACCTTTTGCACAGCGCACGATCTACCAGCTGAGCTACAAGATCACACCAATAGCACCGATCTTTTCACATTCAAATCACCCATTCAACTTACACGGGCATATGTCATCCCCCAGGAAGGATGTATAAGATGACTGCCCCAAGTGGCTTTCCTTAGAATTCAGTGAATGACCTTTTAAACAAGGTCAATTTTCCACGCTGTTGTTTGGCTGATTGAGATCATATTTCCAATTTTAATTAACACAAAAAAAGAAAACAATAATTCGAGGTAGTCTGAAACATTGGGTCCCCTTTATCCATTTCCTCCAAATTAAAGGAAGACAAAAAGTCCATGGTCATCTGTTGCAAAACATCTCACGACAGCACGACGCACATTTGACCCCAATTTATCTTTCAAAACATTTTTACGTAATAGCAATGCTAAAATCTTGGCAATTATTGAATTACTGCTTGTTCGATTACATCACTCGACCTTATGCATACAAAAGATTTGGCTACAATCAATCCACTTATCGTGGATTTGACCTTCTACTTCTATGTTTAGTGATCTTTGTGTGCTTTTACACGTTCGTTCACCATAATTGAATAATCCCATGTGCTAGATACATATATACATATTTATATATGAATGTTTGTTTTAAGTAAGCGAATGAGAAGATTGAATGAAATATTAAAATCTCGCGGCATTTTCCTTCTTTCTACATTGATGGAATTCGTGGTAGAACAGTTTCACTGTCATGGATACGTATATATGACACACGCCATTCCTCGACCACTGTGAGGCACTGATGCAATTGAGTTTGATAATTCCAACCTATAAAAGCAACATCTTCCAAAACTTGCAAAGTGACACGTAAGCATGTCGATCGCTGTGTCAGTATGCAAGAATTCGCAAGCCATTTTCATGATTAGTCTGCAATCACACAATATATGGATTGGTTTAGGTACCACGGCTTGATGCACACTTTTCAACCGTTACGGAAAGCTAGTCCGCTGAGGAAATTGTATCACGTTGTACCACACTTCAGTAGCACAAATAAAAAGACAAGATGAAGACAGTAGGTTAGTGCCCAGTGGTAATTGTTCAACAGATTTCTGATATGAAGCCAGACAGACCGGCAGAATTTACGCCAATAAAATCACATTGAGAATTTATTTTGCTTTCCATTGGTTGTCTCTCCAACAGTATCGTTTTGCGCACCAGATGAAAGCAGAATTCTAACCCGGTTATCGGTGAAGAGGCAATATATATATATATGAGTCAATGAATGTTACAGCCGAACTCCAGTTCGTATTTGAGATTGGTGAGGCCTTTACTAGTTCCTGTGTAAGCAACAAAGAGACACTCGCGGGATTGAAAAAAGTATCACAACTAATTGTTTGTCATTCATTGAGTATTGTAAATTATTTGTTAGAAAACTGTACTTGGGCTTCCTCTGTATTATTAAAAATGGTCCTAGATTATCCGTTTGCATGGACTTTACGAACCAGTCTATTGTGATGTTTACACGCACAAACCTGAGACACTGCTTTTGATGGAACGGACCAGATAGTGTGTGCACCCTCGTTTCAGCAAACGATGATTTTATGATAGTATTCACATTATAATGATTGTATTAGTAGTAGTGACGTTACAAGTCGTGTGGTTATTACTATCGTTTGGTATTGGCAGCAGTATTAGTACTAGTAGTAGTGGTAGGGTTCGTACTAACAGCAGTGTTTGTTCCCTACGAAATGCAATTGGAATCTCAGACATACTGTCTATGATCACCGGTCTAAATGAAACTCATATTATTCTTCCTCAAGTCACTGTGGTTTCCCCACTGGAACCAATGTGTAAACTGAATCACCGTAGATGAAAATCTAGCTTTAGTGATGGCTGAATGTTTTCACCGATATGAAATAACCTCAATCAGCAACGGAGAAGTATCAAAGTTGATATTTTGTTCACAATCCTTATTTAAAATTACTAAACAGGAATATAATTATCGGACATTAATCCTTGTAATTATCACTAATCCAAATTCTGATACTCATTGTTCTAGATAAACCAATAACCATGAGCGACGCGTAAGTTATTTTGTAGCAATCGCTTAGCCTCATTTTTATGCGATGCCTGATAAATGCACAACTGGTTACCATTATTGAAAATGCTCCTTTATTTTTACTTCCTTTTGTTGAATACATATTGGTGGTGGTGGGATTTGAGCGTATGTCCTCCGGGATGATAATTTGGTGACGTTACCTGTATGGTGATTCATCTACTACTCCACGCAATCCATACGGATATCTGAAAAAATGTTTGTTCACCAAGAGTGACTACACTATTTTTTACAATTCAAGCTTGTTCGTCAAACGCTATGTCCCAAAGTAGCAAGTTTCAATAACCCATCTTAAAAGGGGGTCCGATGCACATTGAGTTACAACACAAAACGTGTTACCCGACTGAGCTTCCGAAACGGATGTTGGATGTACACAACCACCAGCTGAGCTTTTCCATGAAGTACAAAGAGTAATTCAAATGAAATCCGTCCACAAATGCAAGATATTAATAGTAGGTCAGTCGCATTTCGCATGTACCATGTACTTCACTAACCGCTCAAAATAATTCATCTCTGATGAATTCAGATCAAACTTTACTGGTTCGTGTGGTAGTTTGAAGCAGTGCATTAGTCCTCGCGAGTATATCCGCTCGTCTAGCGCGAGTGTCCTCTTGCTCTTGAAATGAGCAACACCAAGACAAACATTCATAAAACTGGCTCAAACATACCTCATCCCAGGCTGATTCAGAGGTACGAGTTCACCTGATTCGTGATAGGTTGGACCTGAATGTAGAATCATGATGCTTCTTCATGCTTTTCCCAGGTGCATACAACGATTGCATCTGCTGTGTTACTTACATGTGTTCGTGGATGTGTGCACGTTTACTTCGCACTTCAAAACGAGGGTTTTTCAAAAAGCTAATAACTTGCTTTCCAGTCTTCGGTGAGAGGATAGTTTTGATAATCATCGGAATTGCTGAAAATAAGGTTCCCGCTTAGATGTGTTCTTGATTCTAACAATAATAATTCAGGCTATCGTAGAACAACAAGAATAACTGTTATATCCTAGCGCAGGCTAGATTATCAAATTTTACACCGGTGCCTAAATCGAGTTTCTAATTCATCCGAAAATGGTTCAATTTACGTCAGTTATTAGTTTCGTGTGTATAATTACACTTTTCAACTGGGACACATCAGTCAGCGATGGATGTTCGAAAACTGGCAGCTGGTACTGTAAAACAGCGAACATGATTGACATGCCTCTTTCAATTCATTAGTTAACATTCAGTAGTCGACTAGCAGATTTCCCAATTAGACATTCTTTCCTGCATCCTCTGAATAAAAAATCAATCCGCACTTTGATGCTGACCCAAATCAGGGCNTGTGCCCAGATTATCAGCATTGAAATGACTCCGAAAACTGAATGCCACAATATCTCTGATCAACTACTCTCCCGCTGTGTCATTGACCGTAGATTTCTATAAATTGATGCACTAAATGAAAATAATCCTCAAATTAGAAGACTGTTTCCAGTGATGATATTAAATCATCATAAATCCAAAATAGTTTGAAAAGTATAGCAAAAATCGAGAGATTGAACCACGCGATCTGTTTTATCCAATATTCCTGTCTTTGACCGTGAGTTCGTATCGACAAACGTTATCGGATACGTCTGGTACCACAGATGGCCGTTCATGTCAATTTCGTACATCCGACATCCTTTCGTACTTGCACAGCGTTCAAAAATAAGCATGTCATTGTCCATTGATCCGTGCGCAATCACCATGCTCGTACAAGCTCTCATTTCCTCTTCACTCCCGTGTACGATCAGTGACTACAAATCATTGGCAGATTTCCTGATGGAGGTCCTGGACGCGGATAAAAATGGAAAAATCTCAGTCGCCGAAGTCCTCGCCACGGTTCCAGTGGATGACTTAAAAACCGAACTTTTGGCACTATTCGATAAATTCGATGTGGATAAGGACGGAGAGATTAATACGGAAGAGTTAATCACGATGCTGAAAGCGAAGGAAACATAAAGCGACCGGTGCACGGATAGTATCCGATAATCTGGATTTTTCAAAGAGCTATGGTGATCAAACATTGTTTTTCAATTTATACTGGTATGCGTTGATCACGTTAAAACAATAAATAAAGAACCACAAATCAAACGATTTCCTGTGTTAACTTATTATCAGTGGAAGGCTTTTTCCGGATGTTATGTACAAGTTTTATTCATAAATGATGATAGCACAGTTTAATGTCTCTATTCCTCTCTCTCTCTCTCCATTTCGGTTGATTGGCAATATTAGGTATGGAGATGTTTTGCGAGAAACTCAGCATTATTGTAACGAGTTTCGCGTCTGTAACTTTTGATAGGTTTTCGTTACTTAACATGTACGGGTGAGTAAGCATGCAAATCTCAGACCATCCACCCGTTCCAAATACGAACTTATCCCGTCCCTCATATCTGCATATAGAAACTCTTTGGTACCCTATCCTGCTCGGTTACTGACCGACAAGTAAAGTGTTCCTTCTGAGCTTTCTGATGCACTTGATAATTAACTCGTACCCGTTGTACGTTTCACGTCCCTTTTTTCACCAGAATTGTAAAGGTGGTCTATTTGGGGGGGGGGGTAAAGGCTTGTAAATAAATCGCTAAAGCTTCAATACAATAGAACTCTGTTCAAGACTGGGCACGTTAGTGAAACGAAGGTCATTAATGAGAGGAATCAAGTGGCTGACTTTCATGAAAAATTTGAGTTGGCACGAAGAGCGGTTCGTGGGGTGAACACGGATGAAAGACCACACACTGAAGAAAACCAGTTCTTATGTGTGACAGAATAGAGCTGGAAAACTGATCTGTCAGCCTTCAAGAATCAAACATGCCGTTCGTCGGCTAGGCGGCCATAAGTAAGTGTACACACCGTAGCGTCATTCCGTCTACACTATACCTCGAGGGCTGTAGTAGCAAGCACAAGAAAATCATAAAATCCTGTAACGGGTTTTGGAAAGATAACTTACCTGCTTTAAGAAAAATCCATTAGTACTTTCGGTCATGTAGCGACCAGTGTAGGGCAAAATATAAGAGCTGGGTTTGATGGCTGTGTTTACTGGAGTCAAAGCTCGGGTGACTATGTGGATGAAGATAAAAAGCGTGTCATTGCTTGTCAAAAGTTAGTGTGTTTAAAAGCGGGTCACGCTAAAAATGTAACGGATAGGTAACAGCAGCGGGGAAAGCCGAACACGTTTGTCCTAGAGCATCATTGGGATCGGACAACCGGAAAAGGATGTGCGCAACTGATCACACACACACACACACATTCACCAGCGGCATCTCAAGTCAAGTATTTGCTTTATGCACCCCGAAAGGTGCACATTCAGCGGCCACACAGTCAACCAAAAATTAATTATCGAAGAAAACTAAAGCAGAATTGTGATAAGCAAGGAGAAAACAAAACAATTTATCATATGCGTGAGTTCAGTTCCGAAGCTATACACTGTGGGCTGGCAAGAAATTGGGCAAGATAAGGCAGCACAGAAGATCGATAGACGATCGTACGAGCAAATATACAGTTATAGCGGGACACTCAAAAAGATCTTGAAGCAAAGGATATGAAGGGTTGTTTATGATTCTTGTGGATAACGAAAAGCATGACTTTGTATGTTGTGAAATGATGAAGTGACAGAAAGCTTCACGGGAAATTTTGCTACTTATTGATAAATGTGTTAAGGATCTAGAAAGCAATTTAAAGTCACTCCTGAGTATCTCTGGAAAGATTACTGGGGACTTGTACAACCATAGGAGCAAATAACAAGCAAAAAGGAAACGTTTACTCAAGAAGCAAGGGAGGGATGGTACTTTCAGACGTTAAATGATAATTTCCTGACCTTTCCAAGTACAGAAATAACTTGATCAGACCAGCATAAATTTCGGATTATTAACACACCGAGATACCTGACATTTAGAGGTTGGATAATAGTCTCATCGGGTATGTTTGTTGTGGGACAGGAGTCCAGGAGATTAGCATTACTATTCCCTCTGTGAAGTGAGAACAGCATGTCCACGCATTGAGAGGGATCGAGAGTTAAGTTGTGCTCGGTGGACCACTCAGCAAGGTTAGTAAGGCCAAGTTGGAGGGTGAGGGTGACAGATGCATCTGGGTGGGCGATTCCGTCCACAACATCGTCCGCGTATTTAGTGAGCAGAAAATTTTTAAAAGTAGGCATAGATAAAATATAACTGGAAAAAAACGTAGATAGAATGGCTCCCTGCGATACGCCTAGTGTAGTGAACATTGCCAACTCCGATCTAGACGCTGACACACATGGTGTTTTTAGTTCTTCATTTGCAATGACTATAAAAAATCTCCTTGGGTTAACCACTCTCGACAGTGTTTTATGCAAAAAAGGGTTCCAGTTTTTGATTGTGATCAGCGCAGATACGCCGACCTGTATGGAATATGACAACAACAAAAAGTACCGAACCACTTCTTAAATACTATTGATGTAAAGTTTCGGAGGTATGTGTCTAAATCTGTCAGCACGATCGCAAGAAAAATAGAAATCCACATCGTTCCGTCTGCGTATACCATCATGGTGTTTTTCATGAAACAGACTTCTGATTTGTTCAATCGATTCGGTGCATCGCCTGGCGAGAATTTTGAGAATGTCACCATCTGCCTTGGTAATTGTAATATCGTTGGCAATGTCTGTGGATAAGTTTTGAACCCGGAATTCCTGATCAGTCCGCTAGTAATTGTCCCAAAGGACTCCGATAGTGAGTCTGTGGTGATCCTAGACAACGGGATAACGCTAACCACGGAACGACGCGTTACGGTTTCTGGACAACTGTGGTAAGTCAATCTTCACAGATGACCCTAGCCAAGTGCATTCGCGTTTAAGTATCTGGATAATGAGCCATAGGCCGATCGTGCTGATCAATCAGATGTCCTGCAATTCAGACAGAAGCTGTAGGACGTCAAGAATACAAGCATGCGATTGGTGGATACCTGGATGACCAATAAACTTCCTTAACACGTGTTATTTCATCCACTTAATTTCTTTTACTAAACGAATTGCTAATTCTGTGGCCGTTTCCTTGTCTCTCACTTACGTGAGATGCCAGTGTGCAAGTGCTAGTGCGATTCAATGTTTCCGTTGCGTCTGTGATTCGTAATTCGTGATCCGTGCCGACTTCAACCATTGTCAGAGTCCCTACAAGAAAGATAATGAATGAAAGGATCGCATTTGTTTAGCTTCACTTAGGTCACAAATTATTCGGTTAACTTCGCAAACCTGACTCTTTTGATTCTTATAAATGCTTAGCTGATGACACGTCGAGTATGTCGACAATTCATTCTGCCGTTTATTAGTCTTGCAAACTCCTCTTGTAGGGTTCAGCCCATTCGCTGGCTGAAAAATATGCGCATTAAACATCGAGTTTTGCACACTGTGATCAACTAGCGATGAGCAAACTGAATATCGATTAAGAAAGTGTATTTCAAGAGTTTCATACTAATATCACCCTCATTATTCACAGTCATATTTTGGCGGTTGTGCAAACCACTCTGTAATCGTACCCGGACATTGTCTAAACCCTTTAAGACAAATCTCTCGGTTTCGTTACGCCTCTGTTAAAAGCAAAGGATTAGTAAATAGGAGATGTACACTAAGATGTTTAACGACTGCTTTTCTAGTGCTAAGTTAAACATACTTGCTGAGATAATGCATCCTTAACTAAAGTATCATTGGTTTCTAGCAACCTACTTTGTTTTATATCTCCACTGAACCGTTTTTCTTTCCATGCCAAATTCACCAAATGGTCGTGTTCTTCACAGAAACATGCACGTATGGGAAGAATCGAGCACGGTAAAGCAGTCATTGGAATTCAACGCCCCATTTAGTTCATAACGATTCTCGTTTTCCAAGAGGAAAATCGATCGATGAGGATCAGATTCTAAGCGGAATCCAGCACGTTGCTAATAGATACAGAACAGCCTTGAGCACTTTAACAAAGTATGCTTCAGTTCAGACTTATTCGCGGCAAATTAACTGTGAATAGCATAACTCACCTACTTCAGACTCGTTGTTGCCAACCGAAAATCCGATCAAAAGCACGGATCACAAAGAAAACACTAACACGCTATTGAGCGGTTTTTTTATTAGACAGATGCATGATGCGATTGAAGAAGGGGATTGCGCGAATTTCAGTGCGAGTGACCCGTAGAAAACGCACCCCAAGTTCAGATAAGAGGAAAACACAATGACTGATAATCTGTGTTCCACAGATGTGTCTGCGTTTCTGTGTATCTTCTAAGTTCTTCATGATAGATTCCACTTATCGAACAAGATCAACAGAAGTTGTTGTGTTAGGTGTTACGGTAGACGACACTTGACAGCATGTGATACTCGACACATCAGTTAGTCTACTATTTACACTGACTCTTCTTGACTGGATGGGATAGGCTAAACCAACTCTCGCTAACCGTTGAATTTAAATTCATAACACAGATCTGCTCTGTCCACTTGTCAATCCCACATCCCAGTAGGATATTTAACGTCTTGTGTTATGTGTGCGTCCCTTTGTGAAACGTAAATTTCCAGTCAGTTTGCATTTTTACAACTTGTGCGTAAACCTTAGTCAAAAATGCATACCAGTCAGTGATCTAAATTACACGACATTACCCATTTTATGGCAAATTCGTCCAATAAACACTTCGAACAAGGGTGAAATAAAGTATAAAGGAACAGTCTGCATTTGTTTTCTAAGAAGGGTGGACTTTATCTGAACTGCCTATTGAAAAGCATGGAAGTAGTCAGTTACTACATGCAATTATAAGAAAACGCATCAGCCTCCTACGCCACTCACGGCACGTATCCGCTCTGGTTCATGGTTTATTCGAGTACGTTTCCGCATACGAATCAGAGACTTGTATTCGCATTAATCCCAGAAGCTCATGTGCTTGCATTTTTCAGCTAAAACAAACACTGTCCGCGTGACACCGAATAAAAGGTACAAATCCATTCAGCGTGGAAA